TCCTTCCTTCCTTCCTTCCTTCCTTCCTTCCTTCCTTCCTTCCTTCCCTTTTTTATCTATCTATCTATCTATCTATCTATCTATCTATCTATCTATCTATCTATCTATCTATCAATCATCTATCTATCTATCTATAGAGCACTGCACACCAGAACAACTAGCTACAAGAACAGTTTTTCCCTGAAAGCCATCACTCTGCTAAACAAATAATTCCCTCAACACTGTTCAACTATTACAAAGTTTGCACTATTGCTGTTAATCATCACTCCTTATCACCCATCCCCTCCCACTTATGACTGCAGGACTGTAACTTTGTCGCTTGTATCCTTACGATTTATATGGACTGTTTCCTGGTATGATTTGATTGCTGATTGTACCCTATGACTATCATTAAGCATTATAGGTTATGATTCTTGATTCTTAACGAATGTATCTTTTCTTTTATGCATGCTGACAGCATTTACACCAAGACAAATTCCTTGTATGTCCAATCACACTTGGCCAATAAAGTATTCTGTTCTGTTCTGTTCTGTTCTGTTCTATTCTATTCTGTTCTGTTCTGTTCTGTTCTATTCATCTGTCTGTCTATCTATCTATCTATCTATCTATCTATCTATCTATCTATCTATCTAGCAGCAGTGGTGCAGTGGTTAGAGTGCAGTGCTGCAGGGTACTTCTGCTGACTGCTGTCTGACTGCAATTTGGTAGTTCGAATCTCACCAGGCTCAAGGTTGACTCAGCCCTCCATCCTTCTGAGGTGGATAAAATAGGGACCCAGATTGTTGAGGGCATTATTCTGACTCTGTAAAACTGCTTAGAGACGGCTGTAAAGCCATGTAAAGCGGTATATAAGTAAGTGCTATTTCTATCTGTCTGTCTGTCCATCTCTCTATATATCTCTCTCTCTCTCTGTCTATATCTATCCATCCATCCATCTACCCATCCATGATCACATTTTTCAACTGCTCATCTTCCTCACAGAGGAAGGACTCTTGATGATATCTTGATGAAAAGCCACTTCTGTAAGTCACTTTTAATTATTGTTATTGTATGTTTAGGAATACAAAGTATATGTTAAATAAATCTTTGGATATTGTGGTTATTTTTCATCTTCTTTCTCCTTTTTTCCCATCTTGTATTTCAATCTGCCAGGATACAAAGGATTATTGTTTTTTTAGGGAAATACAGCAAACAAGAAAGGTAAAGCACTGAACTTTTCAAATAGGGTGTCTTAAATTAACTTCCCTGGTGCACGTATCTACATAAAACTAACAGATGTCCATAACACTATCAACACAGTATGGATGCTTGTGCTATCCAAGAGGCTGAATGTTCAGAAAAAACTTTCACGTGGTCTTGTTTTTCAGATCATTCAATGGAAAGTGAGCAGGAGAGAACCAACCTAGAAATAAGGAGAAATTTCCTGACAGACAGAACAATTAACGGCTTGTCTTCAGAAGTGGTGGATGCTCCATCCCTGAGGGCTTTTAAGAAGAGATTGGACAACCATTTGTCTGGAATGGTATGGGATCTCCTGCTTGAGCATTGGGGGTTGGATTAGAAAGACCTCCAAGGTCTCTTCCAACTCCGTTATTCTGTTAAGATTCCTTCTTTGGAAGCTGATGCCTGCAATGACACTCCAGGCCTCTGACTCTAAGGTTGCAAATTGCAACTCACCTTTCTGCCAGCCCTCGTTTTGTCAAGCCTGAAATGACAATGGGGTCAAAAGGTTCTTCTGTGCCTGAGATAGTGATTCCCAGGGGCCCACCATATCTCTTCAATTCCACTGTGTAGATGATAGCCCCTGTGGTTTCTTGCTCATCTGTTAAAAGGAACAAAGAAGCTGAATAATCGCGAATGAAGGCAAATAAAGGTTGAATAATGATGATAGCAGTCATCAAAAGGCCAAGCTCAGAGGAAGTTCCAGTCAATCACAAAGAAACTTGTAGCCCTCTGAATCTTGTTGAAGTATATAGTATTTGTATATAGGAAGCGTGTGAATATGCAAGCATATTAATTAACAATATTGATTCACAATCTGTCAACCTCATTAGTCTTCGAAAGGGTTTTTGTACCAGAGTTATCCTCATCCTTCCTGATCTTCAATTTGACAAGTTCTTCACACTGTTTTAAGATCTGCACTGCATCTTCCATTGAGCAATTGTCGAGTCGGATATTATCAATAGCTAACAGCTTGTCTCCGGGCTCCAAGGTGCCAGTCCTGCATACAAAGAGAAAACAAATCTTTTAGAAAACATTCTAAATAGTGTTAACATTTGTACTTTTCAAGTGCTAACAGTGTTGATGATATGATGAAGTAAGTGTTGGGCAAACAAAATCATCCATTTGTTTTTAGTAGCTATCTTTCAGCATGAGGGAAAACAATTGCTTTAGAAAATGGTTTAAAAAAAAGAAAGAGAGAAAACCTCTGAAGAATTCTCCCAATCTCTTTGCACTGAATTTAACTACAAAGAGGCCAAGAGGTATAGATGTAATTATAATGTCTTCCAAATGAAGGCAAATATACATGTCCCAGGAGAATGTTGCAGGATCTAAACTGGGTCGTTCACCTGGACCAGAGGTTTGTCTTCTGAGCTTCAGGACTTGTGCTGGAGCCCATCTTCAGGGAATTTATCTCTAGCTAGTCCGAAAGTTTGGAAAACAAAACCTGTGGTCCCGGTGACCTAACCAGATTGGATCCTGCTATATTGTCTTCCATTGCACAAACATTTCTCCAGATTTCTCTTGCCTCTTCATGCTTCCGATGAGGTTCCAAAGGAAGACATTAATGGGTTCTTTGGATTGGGAAGGGCAGCCAACCAAAAGGCTTTAGACCCAGTTTTTCTCAATCCCAGCAACCTTCAGATGGCTGGACTTCAACTCCCAGAATTCCTCATCCAGCAATACTGAAACACTGCTTTAGAATGATGCAAAAGGAAAGTGAAACCTCAATCCCATCATTTTGGAGTATCTTCAACGACTAAAGGAAACTCAAACATTATGAAGAGGAATTTAAAAGAAATCCCTAGACACCATGAGAAGAAGGTACAAAAACAGAGGCATCTTTCTAAAGGGAAAAATGTTTCCAAAGCAGATTTTGGTATATTAGTCTGAACAAGTATGTACCAGCTTCATGTGTATTAATTGGGTTCAACTGCATATTAGAATCCAGAATACCTATGAAAGACAGTTGAGGTCATAGAGAGGTATTACAGATCTTAGGACCAAATTAATTACTATTGTTTATTAAGATTCAGAAATAAAACAACAGCAGGTAATTCACTCACCTATGTGCTACACTCCCCTTCTTGATATCAGAGATAATTAAAGGCTCACCAGACTTTCTGCTTGCTGTTTAGGAAGAGATACATGCAGACACTCAATCCAGGCATTTAGAGTCCATGATAATCTTCAGAATTATCTATTACCAGCCTTCCACAACCAGGCATTCCTGCAGAATTCCCAGTCATTATGGCCATTAGAGCACACCAGGTTGCAGAAGACTATATAATCCAAACATTATATAACGTAGGAAGCAACATAATATATTTCCATTTTTCAATTTATCTTTAATAAAAACATCTAAGCCCAAGATACTAATGTTTAATAAAATTCATAAAGCAAAGATATTTGTTATGCTTTTGAGAGTTGCAATCAAGGTTATATTTTAGCATCTTTTCATTCTGTGAAAGAAACAGTAAATGTTGGTTGCAGCATATTGATGTGGCAAACGATGGTTGAAGAAATGGATCTGAAAGATAACTGAGAAAAAAATATGACAAAGATCTTTTTTAAAGAGCCAAATATTCAGTTCTCTATATAGAGTATGCCTATGTAGGATTCACTTATGTTGTGACTGATGGAGAAAATGAGGCAATAAATATTTTGAAGGAGGTACACCATATCCATCAAAAGTGTATGAGTGACGTTGGCACAAAGCTTTGCTTTGTGGGAGCGTCACAACAGTTGAAAGAGGAAACATGTTAGGGCTAAGAAAGAAAGAAAGATCAGAATAAAAGAATGACAAGAGTTGGAAGGAACCTTGGAGGTCTTCTAGTCCAACTCCCTGCTCAAGCAAGAAACCATTTCAGGTAAATTATTGACCAATCTCTTCTTTAAAACCCCCAATGTTGGAGCACCCACAACTTCTGAAGGCAAGTCATTCCACTGATTAATTGTTCTAACTGTCAGGAAATTTCTCCTTAGTTCTAGGTTGGCTCTCTCCTTGATTAGTTTCCATCCATTGCTTCTTGTCCTTCCCTCAGGTGCTTTAAAGAATAGGTTGACCTTCTGTTCTTTGTGCAGCCCCTTATTGGAACACTCCTAGTCCTTCTTTTCATTAAACACATCCAATTCCTGCAACCATTCCTCATAAGTTTTAGCCTTCAGTCCCCTAATCATCTTGGTTGCTCTTCTCTGCACTCTTTCTAGAGTCTCAACATGTTTTTCATATCATGGCAACCGAAACTGGATGCAACTTTCCAAGTATGGTCTTACCAAGGCATTATCAAGTGGTATTAACACTTCACATGATCTTGATTCTGACCCTTTTAATGCAGTTAATGCAGCCAAGGACTGAATTGATTCCAGATCATCCTGGAGAACGTCTATCTATATGACTATTAAGAGTCAATACTGATTTGATAGCAAACAATCAATCTGCTTAAAACATATCCCATATCTATTGCATTACATTTACTTTTAAATACATAGCAATTTAGTTCCCTAACCTGGAATTAATGTTATTAAATGGCAAAATTCTTAATTTCTACTCAGAGCGCTAAAAAGCAAGGTGACAACTAAAGCTAAACCCATCTTTCACTGAAAAATAAAATAAAAATAAATTGGAAATTGTAAAAGTTTAGAGATATATGAAAGTATATTCAAAATTTTAAACACTTAATTCCATGCATTTAAAAAAAAAATGGCCATTAATATGAAAGCATGATAAATCTGAATTCTGAATGAATATGCATGAAACTGATGCTTCATTTCTAGCACAGTTAGAAATAAAGTTTTAAATTTACAGCAGACCTGCCAATTCTTGAAATATAATTAGCTACGTTTCCTTTTAAGGACTCAATTTCTAAAACTATTCATAGAGTATACTATTTATAGCTATGGAATATTTGGATATCCTCCTCCTATTTGTCCACAGGGAGCCCAACAAGGGGAGGAAAGCCAAGTTAAGAGAGGAGGTTTTTTTAAAAAAAATTATTTTTCATTACTTCCCAGAGATGTAAGTAACAGTCGTAGGTTGGTGTCTTAGATTTGCTTCAATAAAAAGACTCATGCTGTGAAAACAACATTATTCTTATTGTCAAAGCTCTTGGGCCAGAATTCTGTTTTTGCAACTCCTCCCCAGTACTGTCTGAAGCAGTTGAAAGTTGAATGGTCTAGTGCACAATAAATATTACCATACATACACACAGCCAAACAACCTGGAAGATGTTTGGGGTTTCAAAGCTGGATAAACACCCTGAAAAGCAAAGCAAACCTATGAAGATTGGCACAACCCTAAAAAAAGTTGGTGACGTGATTGGAGAATGTATTGTTGAACCTTGTTAGCAAAGCAAAACAAACCATAGTAGGCCTTAGCACGTTGAATTATAGATTCAAGATTGGAAGAAGATAGGTGCAAGTGTTAGTTTCCAGACTGCTCCTATTTTGAAATGGAAGAAATAGAACATGGGATATTGTTTATAACAATCTCAGAAGCAGTAGAAACATCATTAAATTTGCAAAAAGCTTTGACATGGCACAAAGCTACATGATTTGTTTGGGTTTGTTGAAGCAAGTCCCTACTTCAGTTTATAAATCTGATTCCCTGATCTTTGGCTAGGTTTGCTACTACTGTTGAGAGACTAAAATACCCAGAAAGATCCAGGCTGGAAAAGACTGAAATAAGTATAAAATCAAAACTTTATTACAGCCTTTGGAACAGAAAGTGCAAAAACAAAATACACAGACTTGCAAATATTAAGAAAACATTTAAGAGTGCAATAAAATTACATAATATATATTAATAATTAATATAACATATTATTATTGTGACTGTAGGCTTTTTTTTAAGGCAGTGGTGATCTCCAAAATTTATGCTAAACTTTAACTTTAGTAAGATGGATACAACAAACAAAATCAGGCAATCTGGAAAGTTATATCAGAGTCCTGGGGCAGAGAGAAACAATCACAAATAGGTATTGTACTCTCTACCAGGGTAGTTCTTTAAAATGGGATAAATATGTTTCTTTCTAGATTCTTTATAGAGAGAGCAACAAAGGAACATATCACTTAGAGATTTCACTGAACCATTTCCCCATGGGCATAAGCACTGCCTAAAAAGGGATATTTTTATACCACCTCCTCAGAACTGCAGATGATGGTGTACATCCAACTTTGGCCAAGGTGAAAGCTTCAAAAAATTTCAGAATCAAAACAGAAGAGAGATAAGATGATAACAGACAACATGATCACTTGAGAAGAATCCATAAACTGTAGACTATTAGGCTTAAACTCATTTGAAAATCAACATCCCAGATGTATTGTATAAGATGACTCCAGGCATTTTCAAATCCTAATAAACTCAAAAGTCCTAAGGACTAGAATTTTGCCATTAGCCTCTGTTAGCCAGGTTGATTTAAAACATTCTCCCTAAACCAGGAGAGAAAAATCCCACAGGAGAAAAATCAATTTCAACCAGAAATGAAGATGATAAAACCAGGCTCTGGTACTCACAGAAACCAAAACTGTGTCTAACCCATAAAACAACATTCTTGATGCCACTTGGAGCTGTGTGCTCTTATAAACTTGGACTAGGTAGTTTCCAGGATATTAATCTTTGTAAAAATGCAAATTGGAACACTATAAAGAAGCCGAGAGATTACTCTAGCAAGGAAAATCTTGCAAGCTGCAGGAATAAAAATGTGCCCACTTTGAATGGAAGAAACTTAAGACAGCTGTGGAGTTACATTGGGCCATACTTGCCTGATAAAGAAAAATGTGTGTTCTAAGATAAGGAAACCTGGAACTGCACCCCAGGATATTTCTAAGTATGTACCTGCTCTGTTGAGGTCCCATTAATTTGCCATTCATGTAACCTACCGTTGTGTCATGCAAACACCAGCATTTGGGCTTTTTTAAATATATAATTTACTGCTAGTTGTTCTTTTAGATAAAAGGAAGCCAATGCTTTCAATGCCCTTCTCATTCCCTGGAAGACCAACAAAATTACATTGTGTGTATTGTACTACTACATTATAGTACTATGTTTATTACTTCATATAGCCAGGGTGGAATTGGTCTGCTAATATTGGATAGCGATGCTTAGAAGATAAGAGAGCCCCTAAATTATGGAACCAAGGTACAAGTTAAAAAGTAAGGGGACTAGAATACCCCCTTCTCTTACCCCTCTTTTGATGGAAACGTATCCTGAAAGGTGCCCTCCAAAGGGAACATCTGACTCGCAATGGAATGTTGGAATACAGAATTTGTAGATGAAAGAGCCATCTTTTATCCACTAAGGTTTCCTGAAGTTTGGCTATAGCATCTCCCATGGAACAAATGTATTTTGGCAAGTATTCGTTCCCCTTTCTTATTGTTTCATACAAAGTGAGTTGAATATGGAGAAGAAAAGGTGGGTCTGCTCAGAACTGTCACTGACATTTAATGTAATATATACCCTAAGAGATGGAAAATTAGTTTTCATTTACTCCTGTCTGGGTGCTGCCAGGCAGACAGTTCAGAAATGACTATGTTGAAATGCTAAAAAAAAAATGTGGAAACAAGACTCATGAAAAATCTGGTATACCTAATCCACATAATGATGATCGTTATTGTAAATGTTTATATTTGTTAAAGTGACCTGGTGTACTTCCAGCATTTTTCTTTAGAAAATGAATTGCTGCACAAAGAACATGGAAGCATCAGATCATCTAATTACTTTTCTTTATAAAAGATCCTTATTCATGCTCGCTTTAAAGAATCGTTCTCCAATTAACATAGCTTATAAATCAGAAATCCAGACTGTGCTGATACTTATTCTGTTACAAAACATGTGATTGCCAGGTAGGATAACATGTCTACTATCTCCTGTGAACAAAGCAACACCCACTATCATGGTAAATGAAGAATCTGGATCATCTATAGATGAAATGTGAATTACCGTTTTCAAATAGGCTTACTGATATTTAATTTAGATCTTAAGTATAGGCCTAGAATGCTATTGTGCATTGTGATAATTAAAGAGTTTTCAGATCAGGCTTCAACAAAACTGGTAATAATTTAATTTACTTGAAAATGATCACATATAATTAGGAATGTTTACAAAAACAAACATCATTTAAAACATTTTG